TTTTAGCTTAGCTTTAGCTTAGCTGTAGCTCAGCTGTAGCTCAGCTTTCGCTTAGCTTTAGCTTAGCTTCAGTTTAGCTTTAGCTTAGCTTTAGCTTAACTTTAGCTTAGCTTTAGCTTAGCTTTAGCTTAGCTTTAGCTTAGCTTTAGCTTAGCTTTAGCTTAGCTTTGCCTTAGCTGTAGCTTAGCTGCAGTTTAGCTTTAGCTTAGCTTTGCTGTTACTACTAATGCTGCTTTCCTAGGGGCTCCAACTCCTAGGTAGGGTCGCACTGGGATAATCTTAGCTTAGCTTACCTTCATCTTGGCTTCGCTGAGCTTTAGCATAGCAGAGCACAGCATAGCATAGCGTAGCATGGCATAGCGCAGCATAGCATATCATAGCATAGCCCAGCATAGCATAGCATAGCGCAGCATAGCATAGCATAGCATAGCGCAGCACAGCACAGCACAGCATAGCACAGCGCAGCATAGCATAGCATAGCATAGCATAGCATAGCAGAGCAGAGCAGAGCATAGCGTAGCTTAAAGGGGCCGGGCAGTGGAACGCGCCCAGGGCGGTTCCCCCAGTCCCCTGGGAGCCAAGCAAAAGCAACAGCAAAGGTAAAAGGAAACGCGCGGTTCCCCCAGTTGCGCTCCCTGGGTGCCAAGCAAAAGCAAAAGCAAAGGCAAAAGCAAAGGCAAAAGCGAAGGCAAAGCAAAAGCATAGCATAGCATAGCATAGCATAGCATAGCATAGCGCAGCGCAGCATAGCATAGCATAGCGCAGCATAGCATAGCATAGCCTAGCCTAGCCTAGCCCAGCCCAGCCCAACATAGCATTGCGCAGCATAGCATAGCATAGCATAGCAGAGCAGAGCATAGCATAGCATAGCATAGCATAGCGCAGCACAGCATCCACTATTGCTGCTGCTTTACATATCTATATATATATATATATATATATATGTATGTGTCCCCAGTGCCCCGTTCTCATCTCCGTGCCTGCTTGCTTTTGCTGCTGTATCGGCGATTCGCTGCCTGCTTCTGCTGCTGCGTCACTTACGGCGTGGCGTCGGCGGTTCTGCCTACTACTACTACTACTACTACTACTACTACTACTACTACTACTACTACTACTACTACTACTACTACTACTACTACTACTACTACTACTACTACTACTACTACTACTACTACTACTACTACTACTACTACTACTACTACTACTACTACGACTACTACGACTACTACGACTACTACGACTACTACGACTACTACTACTACTACTACCACTACTACTACTACTACTACTACTACTACTACTACTACTACTACTACTACCGCTACTGCTACAACTACGACGATGAGGAGAAGGAGGAGGACAGCGTTTACCGCTCCTACTAATGTTGCTTTCCTAGAGGCTCCTAACTCCTAGGTAGGGTCGCACTGGGATAATCCTCTTCATCATCATAATCGTGTTTCTCCTCCTCCTCCTTCTCCTCCTCCTCATCTTCCTCATCCCCCTCCCCCTCCTGCCCTCCTCCTGCAAAACATCCGTTGTGTCATGTCAGTCGCTAGGCTGCCTCCAAACCTACTCGCCTTGCTGCCGAAAGACAAGACGGCCGATCGGATAGACCCCGTGAGCAGGCGACAGGCGGAAGGGCAAAGGGGAGGGGGAACGCGAGGTGGAGGAGGGAACTCGACATGGATTGGACGTCCGAATGTGCCTTCACAGCGCATTGGGGGGGGGGATACAGCGGACGCCAGTCTACAATAAACCTGCCACAAGAAACCCACCCACCCCGTGGAACCCAGGACGTCCATGGATTTTTGGTGTGGGAACGGCACGCTTCCCATCGCAAAACCAGCAAAACCCAGGAAACCCAGGGCACCCTGGAGGCCAGCAGGGAGTTTCTTGGCATGGGTCTCCACTGCACCTCCGTTGGGCCTCACGCAGAGATGGGTCGGCGCAGTGGCCGCACGAGCTGTCGTCGAGTGAGCTCAGCGGGGCCCGCGGGGCTACGAAGGCCTCAGTGATGTGCCAGGAGTCGACCGCCTTGGGCTCCCCGCGAGCGTGGCCGGGTGCTCCACGAGCCTCAGCGTGCCCGCGCTGAGTGCGAGCAGCAGTCGACAATATGCGGCCTCGAGGAGCTGGCTGGCAATGGAGAAGGAGCAGTGCGGCTTCCAAGTGGCACCGGGCCGTCACCAGAAATACTGGCCAAGCGCGAAGGGGAGGCGGGTCATCCGCCGAGTACAGCACATGTACCCTGCCCGACTATACTAGGTCGACCCTGAGCTTCAGCGTGGTTTCGTTGCTGAGGTCGCCGAGGATGCAGGCATTGAGAGGAGGGGGAAGGGTAGGAGAGAGAGAGAGAGAGAAAGAAAGAAAGAAAGAAAGAAAGAATGGAGAGGTGAAGAAGAGCAAAGGGGAAGTAGGAAGGGATGGGAAGGGGAGGGAAGAGACGGGGAAGGGGAGATGGAAGGGGCGGAAGGGGAAGCGAGAGTGAAAGAGAACGGACGGGAGCGGACGGGGGGGGGATAACGACCCAGATTTCGGACGGATCGTTCTTCCTGTCAACGGGCCACGGAGATCCTGAGCCTTTCCCGAACGGCAAGCTTCCGTCCTCGATCCACGCTTAGATCTACACTCAATCGGTCATGATCCAGAACAGATCCGACATGCGTTTGCACAACCTTAGCAGGGAATAACTGTTCACGTTACTTCGCACTAGCCTTGCGCTAATTATGGACGCAAGAATGGAAAACAACAAAAAAACGCCTGAGGCTTGGGCACCCAACCAGCCTCGACACCGCCGCCGCCCGCGCCGCCTGGCTCGTTGTCGACGAAGAGCACCTCCTGCAGCGTGCAGCCAGCGTGCGCCGCGATGGAGCGCAGGTGGGCTGCGGCCGGCGGTGCGGGGGATCCTCCTCCTCCTCCTCCTGCTCCTCCTCCTCCTCCTCCTCCTCCTCCTCCTCCTCATCATCATCATCATCATCATCATCATCATCATCATCATCATCATCATCATCATCATCATCATCATCATCATCATCATCATCATCATCATCATCATCATCATCATCATCATCATCATCATCATCATCAGCAGCATCATCATCATCATCATCATCATCATCATCATCATCATCATCATCATCATCATCATCATCATCATCATCATCATCATCATCATCATCATCATCATCATCATCATCATCATCATCATCATCATCATCCTCGAGGTGGGGAAGGGGGACGTGAGACCCTGAGATCGGGGCGTCGCTTCCTTCTCACGCCGGGCGTCTTCGCAGAATTTCGGGGTCCCTGGGGGCCCTCGCGCAGATCGGTCTGGCTTGAGGGATGCCGCAGAAAGGTGGGGTCTGCTGCTCCAGTCGCGATGTCCACGGGTTTGCACGTGCTCGCGCCGCTGGATCTCAAGGGAGGGAGGAGGGGGAGGGAGAAAGGGGGAGAGGAGGAAAAAGAAAACAAACAGAACAACAAAAATGGCGGAGAAAAAATGAGAGTGCAAGGAAGGGGAGAAGACGAGAGAGGGTTGAAAGGGAACGAAGGCAGAGCAGGCGAAGGGCGAGAAGGAGGAGAGGTGGGAGGGAGGTGAAAGGATGCGAGGGCAAGAAAAGAAGGAAGCAGAAGGGCAGGAAAAATGAAGGACGTTCAAATCAAAGCTCATCTCTGCGATGGACGCCGGCACTCCCTGCGGAGCCGTAGAAGTGTCGCGCAGATGTCTATCATGCGGGGCGCCGCGCCCCTCCCATGGGCTGGCGTCCGTCCTTCCTCCCCCCCCCAAACACTTGTTCTGGGGGGGGGGGCGCGATTACAAAGCTTCTCCCGACTCGGCCTCGACCGCCACCCGTCTTGATGGGGCCGCGGGTAGGAGAGCGAGGGCGGTCAGGGGCTCGACTTTGCGCCGATGTCTCCCCCCACCCTGCACGGTTTCCCCCGGAGCCGTAGGCGACCCGAGGAGGAGGGGGAGGAGGAGGAGGAGGAGGAGGAGGAGGAGGAGGAGGAGGAGGAGGAGGAGGAGGAGGAGGAGGAGGAGGAAGAGGAAGAGGAAGAGAGGAGGAGGAGGAGGAGGAGGGAGGAGGAGGGAGGAGGAGGAGGAGGAGGAGGAGGAGGAGGAGGAGGAGGACGGGTCGCCTAAGCCCTTCGGAGAAACACCCCACCCAACCCCCCGTGGATGTGGTGTGGGGGGGGGGGAGGACGGCTGAGTGGCACGCGGGGCGCAGATGCCCGCAGGCGGCGAAGGCGATGCCTCCAAGCACCAGCTTGCGGGCGGTGCCTCGCACGGCTCGCGGAGAAGAGGCGCCGAGGCGACACATTGGAGGATGAGGAGGAGGAGGAGGAGGAGGGAGAGGAGGGAGAGGAGGAGGAGGAGGAGGAGGAGGAGGAGGAGGAGGAGGAGGAGGAGGAGTGGTGGTGTCTTTCTGCGGTCGGCGATCACACGATTGTCGGAATCGCGGGTGCACACGCCTGCTCCGCAAGCCTTGAGGGTGCCCGAGGCGCCGGGACGGGAGTCGACACACGCCAGGTATGCTGCGAGGAGGCGAGCGAAACGACGATCCGCGGCCAGATATTAAAGTCTCAGCCGTCCCCGTAGCTGCCTGCGCCAGTTCAGGCGCAGCATCTCGCTGACAACATGCGCGCTCGTAACGTGCACGGCATGGACTCGCGCGAAGCCTAGCCTGATCCTGGATGTATGCATCGCGATTAGTCCGACGCCTTGCTCCAAACATGAATGGGTTTCGAATCGCCCACTCTCGTCCAATTGGCGTATGCATCTGATGCCTCGCTCTGCAGGCAGGAAGGGCCCTGCGCGGCATGCAGTATCGCAAGGATGAGAACTACGCTGGTCTATGAGGATGTCCCCTTCTGGCTGCAAGACAGCGCGCTCGTCACCATAGTCAAAAAAACATTCGGACCAAATACCAAACTCGAAAACACAATTAAAGCCACCGGTCAGACTTTGATGCTATCCCTCCGCCCAAGGAATGCAACGTCCTCCACCCACACCCACACACACATACGCGGGCACAACCTTCAGAAAAGGGACTGTTCAGCGCAATGATTCACCACTGTGATGCGAAAAAGGTATCCACCAACTCTTCTCTTTCTCTCTCTCTCTCTCTACATATAGATCGGTTCTCTCTTTTTCTCTCTCTCTCTCTCTCTCTCTCTCTCTCTCTCTCTCTATATATATATATATATTTCTCTCTCACTCGCAATTCTGCTAGAGTGCATAGAACTTCTTCCAGGTAGAGGAGGAAGAGGAGGAGGGAGACGGGAGAGGGAAGGAAAGAGCAAAGTAGGAGCAAAGGCACATTCCAGGCCCGGCACTCTAGTCGGATCCTGTCTTCGAGCCCTTCATGATCACCACAACGTCCACGAGATCCGACAAGGCTCGACCATCACCTGTCCCCCATGTCCTGCCCCCGCTCAAAATACTGCTGCTGGTCATCATGCTGCTGCCGCTGCTGCCACTTCTGCTGCTGTGTTGCTGCTGCTGCTGCTACTGCTACTGCTGCTGCTGCTGCTGCTCATCTATCCGTTTGGTGGATAGCATGGGCAGCCAGAACTCCCTTCACTGTCTACGGCAGCCCCGTCAGCTCACAGCACGCAGTGACATACTCCTAGCAGGCCCCCAGCAAGCCCCATCAACCAATGTCCACATCAACATCAACATCAACAGCATCATCATCATCATCATCATCATCATCATCATCAGCAGCAGCATCAGCATCAGCATCAGCATCAGCATCATCATCATCATCATCATTAGAATCGGCATCATCATCAGCATCAGCATCATCAGCAGCAGTATCGGCATCAGCATCAGCATCATCATCATCATCATCATCAGCATCATCATCATCATCATCAGCATCAGCATCAGCATCAGCATCAGCATCATCATCATCATCATCAGCATCATCACACACAGCATCAGCATCAGCATCAGCATCAGCATCAGCATCAGCATCAGCATCAGCATCAGCATCATCATCATCATCATCATCATCATCATCATCATCATTAGAATCGGCATCATCATCAGCATCAACATCATCAGCAGCAGTATCGGCATCAGCATCATCATCATCAGCATCATCATCATCAGCAGCAGCAGCAACATCATCAACATCAGCATCAGCATCATCATCATCATCATCATCATCATCATCATCATCATCATCATCCTCATCAGCATCAGCATCATCAGCATCATCATCAGCAGCATCATGACCACCGTCAACAGCGTAAGTATCAGCATCAGCATCAGCATCAGCATCATAAGCAGAATCATCACATTCAAACCACAACCGTGTCCTGACCGAGGTGCACGACTCAATCAAAGATCACACAATGCTTACCCCTGCATGCTTGCAGCCCGCCCCTACACGAACTCCGCTCATTTCTATCATCCGCCACCGCGCTTGCAGCGATTGGCGAGTGTCGGGTCTGTCCTTGCTCGCGAGCTTGCCTCTTGCGAAGCATCAGATGAAGCCCCCCGATGCATCCAACCCAACATCCTTTCCTTTGGTCCACCAAATCCCTGCGTTCTCGCCTTCCGACCAAAAAACGGTCGCAAAAACGAAAGTGTGGGTAACAGGGCCCAGTGGACCACACCCCCGCCGCCGTCCCCCTCCCTGGCCCCCCAGGCGCCCCCCCGGTGCCCGCCCGAGCGGCCAAACGCAGTGGCGGAATCGCGCGGCAGCGCAACTGGATACTTGTCCGTGCCTACCCACAGCTCAAGCAGGCATTCTAGTATCTAAAGCGCTGCCCCTTAGCGTACACATACCCTGTAGAAAGATTCACTGGTTATCAATCGAAGCTCGACTAAACCCCGAAAGTCTCATTCGGACTCCATTGGGAGCGAATATTTGCGCACAATTGAAGGATCCGAACGAGGGAACGAAAACCTTGCACGCGCTCATCCGTTCCTCTTCCTCACGGACAGCTCTTCCACGCAGCATCACCAGGCATGTCGGCTGAGCGGCCTGGGCGTTTTGCTGGAGTCTTCCGCACAATTAATGACCCGGATATTTCCATCGCAGCTAAACGAAAAGAGGGGCTTATGTTTCAAATCAGGTTCTCGATCTAGCACCGCGCATGTTCGCCTTTAAAGTTCTCAACAGGACACTTTCGTGTTGAAAACCCCCAAGAGTAAGACGCATGGACCACACATCAATTTCAAATGTGGCCATCGCCTTCGCGCCACGCACGTTCGTCTGGCATAGACGGAGGAGAGTTCCATTTCAAGAGGGGGGCCCTCGCTGAAGGCGTCCTCAGACTACATGGGGCGAAACCTGAACAATCGAAACAGTTACACGAACGGAGACTGGCTTATTTTCAAAATGGGACTCTCCTGCGAGCCTGTCTCGAATTCCTTGGCCCGGAGCCAGAACATGCACGAAAGCTACGGGGTTGTAGGGCGATATCTTTGTTGAAAGGGGCTCTCGCTTGCGACATCCTCACCTTAGACGAAAAATCTGCCAAGGACCTGCGAGGCACGAGCTGGAGTGTCCTCGGGCCCCTTGCTGAATCCCTTGAGCCTCAATCCTCAATCATGAGCATCTTTTACAAGGCCCGGACCCCACATTCTCAAATCCCCGTTGGCTCCCAGCGCGCCCAGGGAGTCTTCCCGCATGAGTTACTGTTTCGGGCCCCAAAAATAACCCATAGACGAGCCAAGAGGGCCCCAAGGGGCCTCTGACCTACAGCCAAGGCAAGGTGGCAGGAGGGGCCGAAGGCCACTAGACCTACTTGGCACTTGGCACCAGGACGGAAAGAGCAACTCAATGTGTGATGGCGCGGAAAGAGCTTCATGGATGGAGGGCGGCTCATGTTCAAAATGTTGCTCTCGCCTTGGCGCCGTGCACATTCGTCTTAAGAGTTTGCAACAGTGTCCAGGATTATCATGGCTAAAATCCAAGAAATGGTGTTTGGGCGCGATGTCGGAATATCAGGGCGCAACAGTCACGTTGATTCGCGGTGATGAGGTGTTCTGGTACGACTAAGGCTCGCCAAAGAGGCAACAATGACGATGATTCGCGGCGCTGAAATCCCAGAAATGGCGTTCTGGCATAGTCCTGGATTTTCAAACGGTTGTCTTCAAACGGTGCACTTCCCTTAATGAAAAATGAACCTTGTATAGGGTCTACGAAGAGGGAACTTGGAGGGAGGGTTTATTGCAACATCGTTAATGAGTCTTGGGTTTGGTCCTCCTTCTCCTCCTCCTCCTCCCCCTTGTCCGCCTACCAATCATCCCTCTCCTCCACCTGTTCGACCTCGTCCTCGTCCACATCCTCCCACTCCTTCCCGCTGCTCCCACTCCAGCCGCCTCACCGCCGTAGACGTCAGCAGGAACAAAAGTACGTGCACAAAGGAGGACGATGAGCAAGAGCAAGAGCAGCGAAAGGAGCAGGAGCCCGCAGACGAGGAGGAACTACAGTAAGAGGATGAGGAGCATGAGGAACATGAGAAACATGAGGAACATGGAGAGGAGAGGAGGAGGAGGAGGAGGACGACGACGACGACGACGAGTACGACGAACATGACGACGAGAACGAGGAAGAGGCCGAGGACAGCAGCAGCAGCAGCCGCACCCACGCACAAACGTGGCGGCAGCAGGAGTCGGGGGACGTCGACCATCCGCCTCACCGACCGAGGCCGAGCCGACCCTGCGCCCGGGATCGGCGGAAACTTGCCCTCCCTGGCCAGGACAGGAGGGCGCGCAGAGCACCGAGACTGGGCCCAGCGCGGGCTGGCCTGGCCAGGCTCAGTGAGGCGGACGGCTGATAGGCACCCACGTGAGCCCTGCCCCTGCGGGTCGGAGTTCTGGAGGACCGGTCGGAGCTCAGAATCGGAGGGGTGCTTGCAGACGAGGGCCCCAGGCCGTCCCGAGAGGGCCCCCCGATCCTCCGAGGAGCCCAAAGAGGGCCCCGAGTCCCCCTAGAAGAGCCCCAAGAGGGCCCCGAGAGGGAGAGGCCCTACGGGGACCTCAAGAGGGCCCCAAGATAGCTCCAAGAGATCTCGCAGAACCCCTCACAACAACATATCCGCAAAGCCCGCCTCCTCACCCTCCTCGTCCTCGTCCATTCATGCCGGGCTTGCAAGTGATCATAAGATCGGAGGCGGCGGTAGTGACGAACAGCACAGGGGCGGGCACCACACGTACTCGCCGGGGAGCCTCGCCGAAGGCATGGACCATCGGCGCCCCTGGATACACGTAGTGCCCCCCCCCTGCGCCATTCGCCCTCGTCGCCAACTCCGAGCAGAGCTGACGTTCCCACAGGCGCGGCGTGAACCTCACGCAGGAACAATCCCATGAAAGACTTGAACTTGGTGCGCGGGCTGCAAGTCGTTACATGCGATGCGACAGTGGTGGCCTGCGGGCTCGGGCTTGGCTCCCCCGCGCCACCCGAGAGCCGTCGGGGATCTACGGACCTGGATCAATCCAGACCCGGGTCAGTCCGGCTTTTCAGGATCCTGCAAGATCCTGCAGCATCCTGCAGGATCCTGCACCCAGACCCAGGTCAATGCGCCCCTGGCCCTGTAGGGTCCTGCAAGATCCAGCGCTCTGGCTGACCCCGTTTGCACTGACCCCCGTCTCCTGAGCTCCGACCGAAAGCCGCGCACCAAAGGCCACTCCGGCGAAGGGTGACTATTGCTTACCCGGTCGGAAGAAGTGGGTAGAAAGATGAAGTAGGTAGGCGCTGGAAGTAAATTGAGCTTCCGCCCGCCCCCTGAAGAGGAGGGAAGAGGGAAAAACGCTAGGTGATCAAGATAGGAAAGAATCCAAAGTAGATTGGCATCTGGGAATTCACAACTAGCTACTTTCAACGACCGACGGGTACGTGTAGCCGATGGCGGTAGCAAGAGCCGCCCACACGGCGGCGCCAGTCGCTGCGCCGCAGGGCCCCCCATCGGCCCCTCCTAGGCGGAAGGCCCGCAGGCAGGCGCGCGCCCACTGCGGCTCGCTGCTGCAGGACGCCACGCCGACCACCTGCGCGCCCTCGAGCCACTCCTGCCTGCCGTCCGCCGCCTCCTCGTCGTCTCCGTCCCCTCATTGCAGCATCACCCGCACAGTCGTCCCCCCCTCTCCTGCGGCTCGACGCACTCCTGCTCCACTTGCTCCTCCACCTGACCCTCCTCATCTTCATCGTCACCATCATCGCCATGGTCACGAAAATCACAACCTCGGCATCAGCTGCATCAGCATCAGCACCCGCATCAACATCCTATCATCACCCCGTCAGCATCATCGTCATCATCATCATCATCATCATCATCATCATCATCATCATCATCATCATCATCATCATCATCGTCATCATCATCAGCACAGCATCATCATCAGCATCAGCATCATCATCATCATAACCATCATCAGCATCATCAGCATCAGCATCAGCACCAGCATCATCATAATCATCATCATCATCATCATCATCATCATCATCATCATCATCATCATCATCATCAGCATCATCATCATCATCATCATCATCATCATCATCATCATCATCATCATCATCATCATCATCATCATCATCATCATCATCATCATCATCATCATCATCATCATCATCATCATCATCATCATCATCATCATCATCATCATCATCATCATCATCATCATCATCATCATCATCGTCATCAGCAGCATCAGCATCAGCATCAGCATCAGCATCAGCATCGTCATCATCATCACCACCATCACCACCATCATCATCATCATCATCATCATCATCATCATCATCATCATTATCAGCATCATCAGCATCATCATCACCACCACCATCATCAGCAGCATCATCATCACAAGACAGCATCGCCATGGCTATCATGTTCACCATCATGACCAACAACAACATCATAATCATCAGCAGCAGCAGAAGCAGCATCGTCATCATCATCATCATCATCATCATCATCATCATCATCATCATCATCATTGTGAAGATATTCAGCATCATCAGAAACAGCAGCATTATCATCAGCTTCATCACCATCAGTAGCAGCAGCAGCATCAGCACCAGCACCAGCACCAGCATCAGCGCATCAGCATCATCAGCATCATCAGCATCATCATCGTCATCATCATCAGCAGCAGCATCATCACCATCACCATGATGCTCATTATCAGCATCATCATCAGCATCACCATGATAATCGTCATCATCATCATCGTCATTGTCGTCATTGTCGTCTTTGTCGTCATCGCCGGCTGCAACATCAATCATCATCATCATCAGCAGCAGCAGCATCATCAGCATCAGCGTCATCACAAATCAGCATCACCATGATTATCATCTTTATCATCATGATCATGAACAGCATCAGAATCATCATCAGCAGCAGCAGCATCGTCATCACCATCAGCATTACAGTATTCAACATCATCAACAACAGCAGCAGCATCATCATCTTCATCTTCATCACCATCAGTAGCAGCAGCATCAGCACCAGCACCAGCACCAGCAGCAGCGCATCATAATCATGATGCTCACCATCAGCATCATCATCAGCATCACCATTCCCCCCATCAGCATTAGCATCGTCATTGTCGTCTTTGTCGTCGTCGCCGTCGGCTGCAACATCATCATCATCATCATCATCATCATCATCAGCAGCAGCAGCAGCATCATCATCATCAGAATTGTGGGATTTCATCCACCTTGTCTGGCCTCACGGCCTGGGCGGCCCAACGCAAGTCCGCAGCCTTGTGACGCTGAGCCCACATGCTGGTGATGTTGATCTCCGTAAAGTGCAAATCAGCGCACCCAGCCCCAGCACGACTCGCCCTCGCATGCACGAGGAAGTTGGCCCGCTGCCGCGCCCACCTGGGGATGTTGATCAATGTATGGCACCCGGCCTCGAGGTGCGGGTCGCCGACGCTGGCGACCGTCGCGCTGGCCATCGGATTGGGCGTCGGGCTGGGCGTCGGGATGGATGTCGAGCTGGATGTCGGGCTGGATGGCGGGCTGGGCGTCGGGCTGGGTGTCGGGCCGGGCGTCGCCTGAGGACCGCCAATCCAGAGCAGGAATTCGCGGTTGTGCCACAGCCGCGGCACGTGTTGTTCCCAGTAACACACCTGCCCAAAGCAGGACTCCCATCTTGGAATGATGTGAGAATCCGATTATCCAGCTTTGTTTGCATTGATTTGGCCCCTGTAGCCCAAGATAGCCCCGTACCCATCATAGCAACCCGTAGTCTGGTGGCGGTCGCACTGCTGATCGGTGAAGGTGCAACCCACCCTGGTAGTACATCCATGGCTCCGCACACTCTGGAGTGAGCGCGCAATGTGCGCTGTAGCGTTGGCAAGACGTCTTCCAGAATCTAGGGCCAACCTCAGATTCACCACCTGACTCGGAGAGATATACGGAGCTGGTGTGTTTGAAAGCTCCCTGTGGCAATGCCTGATCCAAGCCGTTCCAGAACTTCAGAGGGAAGCGGGCAGTGAGAGCTGGTGTTGTTTCGTCCGGGGGGAGGGCTCGCACTGTAGTCCCAGCTAGCCGCCATTGCCCAAGCGGAATTACAGGCTCCATCTTTGAATGTCCCCACCAAAACCCATGCACGACCATATTCGAAACGACAGTAGACAGATACCCCAGCAGAAAGTACTGCGACGTCCTGGTTGCTCACGACGCCGATGTCCCGACTCAGGAGGCTTCAGCATGTAAAAGCCGACTGTAGCACCTGGTACATCCATGCAGGTAGAATAAAGCGTTTTGATCGATGTTGCGCTGCCCCATGTTATGGGCTGCGTGGCTCCCACGCAGTCCAAGGAAGAAAGGAGCGCTGCGATGCTGGACGCGCTCATGGTAAGCAGCATGTATGAGAGTCAAGCTGCGCGTGGCGCAGCACCTGCGCCCAAGTTTGAGCCAGAGAGGCTTGAGCCAAGATGGCTACGAGCCGTCTGGGAACCCTCTTGGAGCGTCCAGGGAGGGTTTTGGGCCGTCTGGAAGCCTTCGTGGAGCGCCTTGGCAGCGTGGTGGGCCATCTGGAAACAACCACGACCGTGTGGGATTGATTTTCCGGCGACTCGGAAACGACTCGGGCCTCTCGGAGAGCCTAAGAAGCACCTCTGGGCCCACCGGTCCCCCATGCTCCGTCGTGGCCGCCAGCCTGGGGCCCCCTGGCCTCGCAGACAATGAGATATATAAATATACATATATATACATATGTATATAGAGAGAGAGAGAGAGACGACGACGACGACGACGACGACGACGACGACGACGACGACGACGACGACGACGACGACGACGACAACGACATGTAGATGTGTATGTGCATGTACGAGTAGATTCACACATATACATACATATACATGCATTACATACATACATACATACATACATACATACATACATACATACATACATACCAACAGACAGACAGACAGACAGACAGACAGACAGACAGACAGACAGACAGACAGACAGACAGACAGGCAGGCAGACAGACATACACACATACATACATACATGCATGCATGCATGCATGCATACATACATACATGCATACATGCATACGTGCATACCTATGTACGCATATACACACATACATACACACATACATACATACATACATACATACGTACGTACATGAATACAGACAGACAGACTGACATACATGCATGTGTACATACATACATGCATACATGCATACATGCATACGCACCTACATACATGCATACATACATACATACACACATGGACATAGACGTGCCTACCTACCTACCTATATACAGGCATATATGCAAGCATACATGCATGCATGACATACATACAAACATACCTATATGCATACGTGTGTACATACATACATGCAGCCACACATACATACGAGCACTCGTGCAGTCATACGTGTATACTTTCATACATACATACGTACATACATACATCCACACACACATATCCCTCCCTCCCTCCCTACTTACCTACCTACCGACCTACCTGCCCACCTGCCGACATAAATACATACATACGTATATATATACACACGCACACACATTCATGCATGCATGCATGCCTACACACATACATACATACGCACCCGCCCTACATGCACGCATGCATGCACATGCGACTATGCATGCATGCATACATGATTGCATGCACCAATTCGGACGTGCATACATGTGTATACATACATACAGACAGGCATACATACATACAAACAGACAGACAGACAGACAAACAGACAGACATCCGTGCATGCATGCATTCACACACGCACGCACGCACGCACGCAGGCATGCATACATACAGAAGACAGACATACATGCATACCTTCGCACATGCATATTTACACACATACAAACGTACAAACATACATAAGTACATACATATATATAGCTCTCGTCTGGCTAGACTGGGTGGGGGCCCCTGCGGCGGAGCTGAGCCCGAGAGGGCTGCGACAGAATACAAGCGCACGAGTGTCTCACTCACTTTTGCGACACACGTGCGTTAGTCCTCGAAGGTATCCCAACACGAGCCTGCTGCTGCCACTGCCTGCTCACGCACGGCCTTTGTCCGGGCGGGCAGGCACACTCTGAAGCTGGCCCGATCTCAAAATCACAACTGCCGAAAAAAGAAAAATGGGATGGCGGTCGGGGTGGAGGTGGCTGCGCTTGAGGCCCCCCCCTCTCCCCTACCTGTCTCTGCCGCCTCCCGAGAGCTAAAGGGCAGCTCTCGTCTGGCTAGACTGGGTGGGGACCCCTGCGGCGGAGCTGAGCCCGAGAGGGCTGCGACAGAATGCAAGCGCACGAGTGTCTCACTCACTTTTGCGACACACGTGCGTTAGTCCTCGAAGGTATCCCAACACGAGCCTGCTGCTGCCACTGCCTGCTCACGCACGGCCTTTGTCCGGGCGGGCAGGCACACTCTGAAGCTGGCTCGATCTCAAAATCACAACTGCCAACCCCACCAGCCTTTCGGGAGGGCGGGCGGGCGCGAGCGAAGCTCCACACATCGGCGAAGCCGTGGTACACGAAGC